GACTTATGTATAGCCAGTCATGAAACATAGATTGAGACATGGCTCCTGGACACAGTAAGACTGTGAGTCAGACGTTATCAATCTACGGGTAACTATTCATATGACATCCAAAATGCAAATATGAATCAACTCCATTTGAGGTGGAATATGTCAACGAAAATTACTTGTTAGAAAATTACATGTTAGTTTAGCCAACGAATGAAGGTAGTCGGTGAACTTTGATTGCCAACAGCAATCAGAGTTTTCGGTGAGTGCTTTAGGTTGTTCCTCTCGTTACATTTTGAGGAATCTGTTCTGAGTGGCTGATTCGTACGCGAGATGTTCAAATGCATCGAGTCAAATGTTGTTAAGTCGACCGAGATACGAATATATATTGGCAACTAAAGCTAAAAAAATCATAAATCAACGATAAAAAATATAAAAATGAAGAAAGAAATGAAGCCTATACGTACATCAGATCCCATTCAGATGATTAGTTCAAAAATCCATCATGATTAGTTCAAAAAACTACGAGCAGCCTTAACTGTTACACAGTCCAGATACAATGCATAACTATTTACCCATAATTCTACCGCTCTTTTGTCATTTCCTTTATTTGGCGGATGTGAAGATGGCACACACGTCAGCTGATTCCATGCCAGGGAAACCACTTCACAAAATTCACTGCCAATCATTACTCTAAAATCGCTTTCATTCACGGCCAAATTTAAATTCTCGCCCTGTCGTAATAAAACAATATCATTCGTGACATTTTCATATAATATAGGGCCTTTATTGTGCATATGTTTGAGAAAATACAATGCATTATAATACATTCCCACTCAAGACATGTTCGTAAATATCAGTCTGGTAAGTTGTATGATTCAAAAGACTTAAAGATTGTTCAGCCACATCATTCCAGGTGAAGTAGAAACTGATAATATTTATTATTATTGTATTACAGTTTGTTTAAGTTAATGTATAGGAAGCAAATGTTTTTCATGAAAGCTTGTCACTGATAGGGGCCATATATTTGCTTATTGTACACACAGAATACATGTTACCATTGCTGGTGATTCATTGCATTATACTATATGCAGACGTACCATGATTACGATTGGATCCTCCCCAAGTCCTCTGTACTCTTTAACACCATCAAATGGATAGAATACTGGGTTGGGAAAATATGAAAATGGTCCAAATAGCGTGTCTTTCAGATGTGTTGTATTTTCCACATTATCCATTATGAACCCATAATCTACTAAATATGGTTGCTCTGCTGTTGGTTCAATGTTACTTGCCCATATATTTGGTGCTGTACACAGCATCGCACTGGAAGATCGCACTTTACATGTCTGTAAAGAAACATTATAAAGTGCATTAGGAAAATCAATACTTCAAATTATTTGATTTTGAGGCACATGTTCGTTTAGGTCTCTTCGAATGTCTGCAAATCTCACACACAACAAGCAATATTGTTAAATGCTGAACACAACACATTGAGCAGTGCAATTAAACTCATTCACTCGATCAGTGGTTACTAGCTCTTTCCGATAATTTATATAATTTCTACCCCGATTTATGTACGAATATAGTATTTATGGAAAAATACAAAAACTGAACTATACTCAAGTTAGTTGGTCGAAATGAAATGAATTAGCGATTGAGTCCAACTGAAAAGTGTTGATGTACACGGTATTCATATGTACATTTTTTCTAATGATTGAACACGCTTAGATGTTTTAGAAGTTTAACATGTTCAATGGGCCTAAGCTGCATTATTTGGCGAACAAATAGAAATATTAATAGAATATATGTGAACATACCGCGTCATAATGATGCATATCTATATAGACTCTCAATAAGGGCGTTTGTACAATATTCAAATTATGTCCAAGAACTGTAATTGTAGTTCCGCCACTGAAACAATAAATAATATAGTTATGAATAGTGAATTTTCTGTGACCAGTGAGTTCACGCAAAATTATATAAATAAGAATTTTGCAATTACAAGGGAAAGTGCCAGGGATCACTAGCATGATTACCACTGTGATTTTGTTATATATGTTTGGCTTATCCCCTGCAAAAGACAGCTGGAAAAAATTGTATGTCTACAGTAGAATAACATTTGGTGTATAGTTGACTTCATCGTGGTGTGACGTTTATACCCTTTGTTATGCTATGTCATTCCAACTCGTTTCATTCTACCATATAACCACGATAACCTATTGCATTACTTAGGTCTAATTGGTTGACAAAATAGGTTATGGTTCCAGGATCAGATTGATCTTGCAGCTGGAACCAACACATTTTCGAAGATTGTCAGCCGTTTATTTGTAGCAATTTATTTGTTGAATGCTATATATGTGATAATGGGGTCATCAGCGGTTGGAAATTTATGGTGCATAATTCATCTTTAATGCTTATCGAATGAGCCCCCCCCCCCAATTGTCATATTTACTTTCTAATAATAATACACAGATCCCGGGGGTCACTCCAAGTCAGATCTGGTACCCACGCGGAAGTATAGCTTTTAAAAAAAAGCCCCCACACATGTACTAATTTTTGTGAAATTATACCCCTTTTCAAGTGCATAAACTTAATATAGAGACCCTATATACATCATACTGTGTTCAAGTTGAATTCCAACATTAATTCATGAGATTAGTTTTTTTTTACACTTTATTACTATATTCTAAATTATTCGACTCTAAACACGGTACACGCGTATACGTGTCAAATAACTTCAGCTTGCGTACCATATTTTATTCAGAGTCCCCCCTGGGACACAAATTATTGATACATCCATATTTACAATATACAGACATATACATACAGTATACATACAGTTCAACAGCTGTTTAGTTTAATTGACCAGAAGAAGGGAGTGGGGGAGTGGATGCTGACAGAATACGAGACTGTCCTGTATTATTAGCATACTTAATGAATGCTTTAGTTCTTGATATTGATAGAATAGTTGGATCTTCCATGTATATAAATAGTAAATCGTTTGATATTTCTCCATCATCAATATACATTTTGACAGTCCCAGAGCGATCTGTATATTCTGATGCCGAGGTCACACACACAGCAGTACTGTAACTTGTACTAAATATGCAAATAAAACAATGCAATGGTGAGTCGCTATTCGAAGAGGACACGAAGACATCACGATTATGTTTTGGGGAAATAAAACAACAAACAAACAAACAACGATTTAAAATTGTGTAGATAAAACTGTAAGGTATATAGAAACAATAGAAACCACTTTGATTATTTTAAAATGTCAATTATTATTTGATTGGCTGATGTAGATGTTCACTCAGATTATGAGTTTTTGATTTAAATGAAAGTCACCACACTGACACTGATTGAAAACACGTGGTCTTATATACCCTTTAGGCTCAACCTCTATCTAATAAATAAAATATTGAAAATCTTTTAGCAGGGCAGGCTATTTTTCAAAGTTACCTGCCCTGTTGTCTAGAGAACCATTTTGACAAATTTCAAAGGTTATATAGGTATTTGTAAATGTAAAAATGTGAAATCCTACGGGATATTGAAAAAT